TTTTTTTTTTTTTTTTTTTAAACCAATAATTTAGAATTCTTAAACTAAAGCACTCATTGTGAAGCCCTGTTATGGACTACATAAATGCCCCCCCCCAACATAGAGTTTGGTAGAGATATACAGCACCTTAAAAGTAATTCAATTTCATTCTCATTTAAAATGAACTACAGGGTCAGTATCCTATAGTTCCATACAATAAAATGGGCTTTACCTTAGCGCTATAGATCTTTAGTGCTGCCCTCCTACCAGTCTTATTGTAAAAAGATGACTCCCCTCTTTCCTCCCAGAAGCTTGTTTTGTTTTCTTCAAACTCAGTATAATTTGTCAGTGTGTGATATACAAGAAATGTATAGGAATTCTATTTACTACATAAATTGTTTTAGGTGTTTTAAACACTTATACTTCATGACTTTAATGAATTGCAGGTCAGGAGTTTATGCATGCAATTGAGTTTTTGTCCACATATTTATACTAATAATAAAAGTCTCTTTGGACTCAGTCCTGTTGAAGTGTTGAATAGTCTCCCAGACCAAGTGCGTGGGGAGAGCTGAGTACTCATCACTGGAAGAGGAAAGGACTTCAAATGTACGAATGCATTTATCCCCATCATTATTTCTAGAATCTAAACCTTTTCTGTTATGAATAATTTGTTATATAGAAAATAATATCTAGCTAATATATTTACTGAGGACTAAACAATTTGTTACTTGAAAACTAGGGTTTGTCCTAGTCTATCTGTAGCCAAATGGTCTATAATGACTTCTAGAGAGAGAATTGAATTCTGCAGTATAAACAAGGTTAACAAAGGTCAGTAATGTATCAAGCAGGAATACTGATACCCAAATGCTTGGATAGATTTAGAAATATCTGATTTATACCTCAGTAGTTTGTGTAGCTGTTCTAGTTCCACGTTCTGTTCTGTTACTGTCTTCAGGAATTGCTGGTTAGCCTGCAAAATGGGGAAAGATCTGTAATTTTATTCCTTCTGCTGAAGACTACTTCTTTTGGACACTGGGTTAAAAGAGGGTTCCTTATGCACGCTACTAACAACTAGCGTACAAATTCATTATAATGTGCTAGCAAATTGCCCATCAAGAATGACGGGAGGCCACTACCCACTGCCCCCTTGCCACTTCGAGCCAGGTCCGGATCCCCCCCTGCCCTACCGCTTCAGGTTGGGGCCGGGGCCATGGCTGGTGCCCCACCCTGCCACTTGGGGCTGGAGCTGGGCCCCCTGCTCCATGTCAGCTGCCGCTGTCACCTCATGCTGCAGAGGGTGAGGCCAGCTCCAGTGGCCTCCCCCACACTCGGTTGCCACTGTCATGGCAGCTTGGCTGCCAGTTCCTGTCTGAACGCTTGCACTGCATTTGATTGTTTCGGACAACCAATCAGAGTGTGAATAAAGCATTATGGACAGACAGGCTAAGACTTTTATTATAATAGAATGTATTTATACTTCTATTCTACTTGGGTTTACTTTTTATTACACAAGTTCTTTCTCAAGCATCCTATTTGGTTAGGCAACATACTAAAAATGGAATTCATTAAAGCAGTATTTTTTTCATACCTCTCAATTCTTTTTTTGATATGTTTTTTCTTAAGTTATACTTGGTTTTCTAGCCAAATTAAGCTGTGTTGCAAAGGCTGGGGGCTATTCAGTGGACCATAATTTGTACTGATTAACTTCTGGAGTATTACAAAACATTCAACTCTCACATGATTCCTATTTAAGACCATTTAACAAGTGTCAAGCTTATTTGCATAGAAGGCCAGAGTCTGCTTCTAACTTATAATCTGTGACTGAAATGATAAACATTAGCATTACAGAATACCCTGAATCTGCCACCTAACTTCTGCTGCTGTCAAAAGGAAATGAATGCAAGGCTAGGGACAGTTACAGACAAATTGGTTTAAGTGGTCTGAAACTGGTCTAATCATGTAAGAGAACTGATATTCAGTCCATATAAACCAGTTTCAAAATTGCCATAACTAGTTCAAGATAAACCTAGTTGAATGTATCAGATGCAACTGATTTTGGGTCAAATTGGTTTGTGAAACTTCTGTCCCAGACCGCTTCCTGGTTCAAGTTAAATCACAGTCTTCCAGCATGCTCTGCAGCCCTGGACTGGGCTGTACTGTCTACTTCAGAGCAGGGCTGACCCCACCCCTCTGCTCCCTAGGTGAAGCAGTGAGGGCTAGCTGACAAGGGTGGGAGACAAACACAGTTGGGGATGCACAGTAGTCTATGGGG